AATGCTATTTTTTGTTTCATTTTGAACAAATTGCAATCATGATGCAGAATGAATGATGTATTAGCTGATATAATGTATTGTTAACCCTCCCCGGCCCCTCCTGTTTGTTACTGATGGTGGTCCTGCTACCCTACTGGCAGTTAACACCCCAGGGAGGGAAGAGGTGGTGGGGGCATGTAGCCGTCAGCCATGCCAGAGAGGTGGCTCATGTCGAGAGCTGCCTGATGGGAGCTATTCCTGCCACTGCACATCCAGAGCTACAGGAGCCCACTGCGAGAATGAGTTACCACCACCCTATCAGATTCCTTCCTTCAGTGGGTCCTCTTACTTAGAGGTGAAGAAGATAAAGGCTTACAACAAAGTCCAGGTTAGTTATCGAGCTCCTGTACACCCACCCATTGTACCTTCTTGTAAATAAATTATTATTATTATTATTGTATTAAAAAAAATCCTTTGTCTCGTGTAGGACCGCCATGCACTTTTTTTTTTTTTATGCAGGTGAGTACAGGACCAGACGACTGCTGACTTCTCTTACACTCACTTGTCAAAGAAACTAAGTGTAGGTTATTGCAAGAGGTGTAACTAGAAAAAAGTTTAGGCTTATTGACACCTCTATTTGATACCAAGCTGGACCATGGAATAGTCCCCTAGATTGGAAATATGCAAACGTCACTGCTATTTAAAAAGAAAAGAAAAAAAGAAAGAGCTCAGCAGAAAACTATCATCCAGTTAGGTTAACCTCACACATCTGCAAGCTCATGGAGGAAATCCTGAGGGAATCATTCACCACCTCACAGTGAACAATATTGTAAAATCAACACAACATGGTTTTGTTAAAATTAGATCCTGCCTTACAAACCTGCTCACATTTTTGGAAACGGTAACCAGATATTTTCAGAGAGAGCTTCCAGTAAATGTAGTATACATGGACTTTGCTGAAGCTTTTGATAAGGTAGCACAGGAAAGACTTAACAAGAAAATTACAGATACATGGAATAAAGAGTAGAATACTAGAATGGATAAAACAATCGTTGAAATAAAGAAAGCAAGGAGTTGACATAAACGAAAATGAATCTGACAGGAGAGATGTGGTGAGTGGGGTACCGCAAGGGTCCGTGTTGAGCCCAATCCTTTTTGGCATATCCACCATTCACAGAAAGTTTATTTATTTATTCATTTATATAATAATAATAATAATATTTTATTTAGGAATAGTACATACATAGATGCAGTTACAAACATTCTGATTGATTTATAGATAGAGCTAGTACATACAATACCTAAAGCCACTAGTACGCATAGTGTTTCAGGCAAGGTGAGGTGGGGGAAAAACACTTAGCCTAAAACTTAATAGTAATTTAGCTTAAAGTATAAATTGCATTAAAAAAATAAAATTAAAGATAAAAAGGGGGGGGGAACATGGTAGAAAATAGCTAATATACAAGTTGGTCAGCAAACAGCATTGTTTAAAAATAGTAAGACATGGGTTGACATTTAGGGGTAAGGTAGGTTACATGGAGTTAATTAGGTAGTACTTAGTTTTCATCTTAAACTGGTTGAGAGAGGTACAGCCTTTGACATGATTGGGAAGGTCATTCTTCATCCTGGGTCCCTTGATTTGTTGAGCATTTCTAGTTTGATTAAGTCATACTCTTGGAATATCAAATAGGTATTTGTTTCTGGTGTGGTGCCCATGTGTTCTGTTATAACCTTCTAAGAAGCTTTTAAGGTCAGGATTGACATTACAATTCAGAGTTTTAAATATATAGAGTACACATGAGAGGATTAGCCCCTCAACTGCATGGATACTTTTTGGTTTTACCAAATATGGCACCCCCCCAGTGCACAGGAAATAAATTTTCTGTAAAAAATTATTTTTTTGTTTTTGTTTTGAAAGTGTCAAAAGCCCTTCCCTGAGTATGGGTATACTGTAGTAACAGAAGGTCGAAGTTGTACTTACTTTGGTTGCTATGGGGTCCGTAAGTTGGTGCGTGATGTCATCATTTCCCGTTCGCCCGTGGCGTACGCTCCCGGGGTCAGTAGGGGGCCCAGGGCAGTATGTGCGCACTGCCATGAATATATTTTTGTTCATTTTCTGCACACAGTTCCAAATACAACTTATGTGTTTTTACGTGCTAATCCTATGTATAATGAACACGTACACTATATTATGGCAGTAGAACATCCGTACTGTCCGTAGACACACTGTTACGTGCATCTCAAAAGTGTTCACTTATCCTGCACTTATTTCCAATGTATCAAGCTAATATATTTATATTTACAGTCTATATACACACTATTCAGTATCACACACACACTATATACACACACCATAAACACACTCAGTACTCCACAAGTGTGTGATATGCAGCAAAACAACCAACAGGGCAGAGTGGCACCTTGCACTCCACACACCAGGTGCTGATGCATCTTCGCTTTTGTTCTCTGCGGGTAGTGTTCCTGCATACTATACATGCATGTTTACCCTTCTCCTGTGATGCAGTGCCTGGCATATACTCGAGCATGTGTACTCCAAAGTTCTCATTACCCCTCAGTCTGTCTGGAGCTGCGTGTGGCTTTGTTGCTTGCACTCTGCGCGGTGCAACGGAGCCCTCCTTGCCATACTTTACAAGCAGCTGTGACACAACACCTGCACTGAATGTACGTATTGATGGCTTCCTGCCAGATTTTACCAGGTACATATTGAAGCAGTTGAGCACAGCAACATCTATTAGGTGGAAGAAGAACTTTTTTGTCCATTTCACAGACTTGCGGACGCACTCCACTCCACCAAGCATCATGTCACATTTATCGGCAAGGCGCATGTTCACGTTATAGTCTATGACACAGTTCGGTCTATACATGGGGAAGCAAGTCTGAAAGTGGACTTTGCCACTGTCCAACATGGCACCGGTGTGAATTGTAGTCAGCGTATTCACCTCGCGTCTGTCCTTCCACCGCACTGACAGCATATTGTCACACTTGCGCAGCTGGCAATCACCCACTGCTATACTAATACCGAACACTGGCATTTCCTTCCTGTGGGCCTTCACAGTGCCACATATGGCGGTGTTGTAGGCAAAGAGGTATCTGGTCAACAAGGGGCTGGTGTAATAGTTGTCGGTGTACAGTATATGCTCCTTGTTCAGCAATGGTTCCATCAGGGTTTTTACGACACTGCTGGAGAACCCGTGTTCATCTTGAGCTGGTATGTCGACGTCTGTACCAAAATACAATATCATGTCCAAGACCATACCAGTCTCACAGTCGCACAGCACAAAAAACTTCGGTCCAAAATGGTGCCGTTTTGATGGGATGTACTGCTTGAATGCCAGTCGCCTCTTGAACAGTACTAGCGATTTGTTGATAGCCACATTCTGTCCAGGTACAAAATAATCCCTGAACTTCCCTCTCATGTCACTGAACACCTGTACCTTCCACAGTCTGTCGTTTCTGTCCTCATTTGCATTATTCTCGAAATGCAGGCACCTGAGAATCAAGAGGAACCTATCACGCGACATATACAGGTTGAACACGGGTGATGGAACTAGGCTGTCTTTGCTCCAATAATTCTGGACGACAGCTTTCTTGGAGTGCTTCATCATCATGCTGAGTGCCAGAAACACGTATATTTTGTTAACTGTCGTGTCCTTCCATAGCGTAAGGCGTGAGGCAGGTAAAATGCCGGCATCTATGAGGCTGTGAGCGAACCTGTTTGTCGCAGTCACAAGATGCGTCATGAATTCGTTGTCGAAATATGCCTGGAAATATTCCATTTCTGCCATATCATCACCATTATATGGGAATAATGCTGTAACACCAAAATCGGTAGCATCAAACGTTGGTATTTGAGGGACAAATGTGGCACAATCCTCTGACACAAGTACACCCGTTGGCGTTGGTGTTGGCGCCAACACCACGGCCAACACCACCACGAGCACCAAAAACACGGCTACGTCGTCTGCTGCTGTAGCTGCATGAGGGTATGCTAGGCGATGAGACAGATTTACGTACCATAGGCCTACCATGAACACTTGATGTTGAGGGGCCACTGTTGTCATTGTCCCGTTGCTGTGAGACACGCTGCCACCTGCCGCGACGTGTTTCTGAGGCAGCAAAACCACGCCTGGTAACACCCTCGCTGCTTGTACTCGGGTCATCCACACTACTCGTATCAGAGCCTATGTCACTGAAGCCCGAGAACGATTCATCATATGTACTGTCACTAAATAAACTGGGTCTGGGGACATACATGGTGGTAGTAGTGGTGATGGTGTTGACCCAGAGCGGCGAGGCAGGCCGGGCGAAGCGCGTGTACCGTACATGCTCGCCACATCATCTACCTCAGTCTCTCCCTCACTCGTATCAGACCTCTTTAAGGTCTTTCTCTGGATCATAGTCTAGGTCATCATCCATAGCACCGTCATCATACAAAATGTTGCGCATCTCCTTCTCAGAGAGTCGCTTTCCATGACCGCGGGTCACCGTGGAGCAGGAGCTCATAGACGATGCGTCAGACATGGTTGCTGCTTTGAAACTGAGGCTCCCTATGGCCGCGGGGCATGCTGGGAATTTTTTCCAAGATGGCGGAAGATAACTGGGAGCCCCAAGGCATCCATTTCGTACCCGGGTCACCGCGCGCCAGTTTTGAATGGAACGTGAAAAATACAAATACCCGGAGGCGCGTTGCACAAACCAAATGAGGGCCTGCAGGTGTGTTGCACGCCCGCAGTTAGAAAGACAGCTGCTTCTGGGTTAACTCAGCAAACCACACTGTGGGACAGAAGACAGGAGATGCTCTTACACCCACAGGATTACTAGGGGGATTACCCCCTATTCCCTTTCATAAAATATTCATAAAAGTTTTATCCATTCCATTATTCTACCATATCATTTTGCATTTTATGAACAATAATGGCTTATGGCATTCCCAATAAAATTTGAAAAGTTGGCATTGTAATTGCAAGTACAGTATGATCATTTAGTTAAGATAATAAATAATTTGTTTCCTTAGATACTGGAGAATTATTTATTTTCTCATCTATAAAAAGTTTACAAAATTAGTTTTCTGTAATCTAAAAAGCTGACGAGTTTACTAAATGCATTAACAGCTTATAGACAGCTGTTACTGTATTATTAAATTACTGTATTATAAGTTTCTTATTTGCATGAAACTTATTTTTTCTCTTTTCAGGTTGAACTGGAGTTTCGAACATTTACGGACAGTGGAATCCTACTGTACAGTCAACAACAGAAAGATGGCTCAGGAGATTTCCTCTCTTTGGCCCTTGTTGGTGGCTTCGTCGAGTTTCGCTACAATCTGGGGTCTGGACCTGCATTAATTCGCAGCCATGAACGAGTTCAGATGAAGCGCTTCCATAAAGTAAGTAACAAATTTTCCCTCTCATAAAGGGTTTGTAATTTTGCTGGCTATCAAGGATGAGCTGCTGCCCTGAAGTTTCTTCCTGAAGGAGAATCAGTTGTTGCAGTGGGTTTCCATTAAAATATAATGATTGATTCCAAACCCCCCCTTCAGTGCATACGATTTTCAATTTTTCCAATCTTTTACTACTTTTGCTGTTATCTGACAAACACAATGTATTTGTATTGGTGTAAACAATAGAATATGCATTTGCACATGTTTTAATACCAAAATACAAATACATGGAAGCATTACATTTAAGAACACAAGAATGAAGGTAACTGCAGAAGACCTATTGGCCCATACGAGGCAGCTGATATTTATATCCACCCAATCTTGTTCAAATATACTGTATATCTAACCTATGCTTGAAACAATCAAGGGATCCTACTTCTATAATGTTACGCAGTAATTGGTTCCTCAAATCAACAACCCTGTCACCGAACCAGTATTTATCCAGGTCTTTCCTAGAACTAAACTGATCCAATTTATACCCATTGTTTCGTGTTCTATATTGTGGTGATAGATTTAATACCCTATTAATATCCCCTTTGTTATGCTCATTCATCCACTTGTATACCTCTATCATGTCATCCCTAATTCTTTGCCTTTCTAGAGAATGTAACGCTTTATTAATCTTTCTTCATATGACAGGTATCGAATTTGTGGGATTAACTTTATCATTCTATGCTGGACATGTTCTAGTGAATTTATATTCATTTATATTCATTCTATAGTATGGCGACCAAAACTGAACTTCATAATCTAAATGGAGCCTAACAAGAGCAAGATATAGCTGAAGAACAACACCAGGTGTCTTATTACTAATGCTTCGATAAATAAATCCCAGTGTCCTATTTGCCTTATTACGAACATTTATGCATACTGTATATTTTTTGGTCTTAAATTCTTACTAATCATAACTCCGAGATCCCTTTCACAATCCGACTTTGCAGTCTCAAAACCATCTAGCTCGTATTTTGTAACTCTGTCATCATTACCAAGCCTCAAAACCTTACATTTGTCAGCATTAAACTGCATCTGCCAATCTTTTGATCATTTCAAACCCTACTTAGATCATCCTGAAGTGATAGCAAGTCTTTTTCTGTGTTAATTTCCCTTCAGATTTATGTATCATTAGCAAATTTGCAAATATTGCTGCTCAAACATGAATCTAAATCATGTATATATACTGTACTGTATTATGAATAACAGAGGTCCCAGGACAGAGCCCTGAGGCACTCCACTTACAACATTTTTCCTCTCAGACTTAACTCAATTTATACTAACTCTTTGTTAGTAGACTCTTTGTTGTCTTTTGGTATAGCCATGGCCTAATCCAACTTAATATAGGTCTCCCAATACCATGAGCCTTTATCCTTTTAATCAGTCTTTCATATGACACTGTATCAAAAGCTGTGCAGAAAGTCAAGGTACACAACATCAGAAACCTTACCACTATCAACTGCCTCAACTATGGTGGAATAAAATGATAGCAAATTTGTTAAACGTGAATGTCCATTAGTAAAACCATGTTGTGAATCATTTATTAATCTATTTTTTTCAAGATGAAGACAAAAGGTATTTGCAATTATTGATTCAAGCAACTTTATCACAATAGACATTAAGCTAATTGATGTTTGATGCAAGGGATCTCCTTTCTTGAAAATTGGTACCACATAAGCAACCTTCCATGACTCTGGCACTCTGCCCGACTCTAATGATTTATTAAATATGGTAGACAATGGCTTGCAAAGCTCCTATGTAAGTTATTTAAGCACCCTGGCAAACACTTCGTCCAGCCCTGGGGATTTGTTTGGCTTCAGTTTCACTATTTGTTTAACAACATCCTCCCTGGTAACTGCTAAACTTGTCAACCTGTCCTCTTCCCCACCAACATAGACTTGTTCGGCTGAAGGCATAATGTTAAGTTCCTCTTTAGTAAATACAGAGATAAAATATTTATTCAGAATACTACTTGTTGCTTCATCATTATCAGTCATCTGATCTGTCTCAGTTTTAATGGACCTATCCTTTCCCTAATCTTTATTCGATATAACTGAAAAAATTCTTTAGGATTTGTCTTTGCTTTCCCTGCTATGGGAACTTTGTAGTTTCTTTTTGCCATCCAACCAGTTGGACAAATTCTTGTTCTAAACTGCCTTCCTCATTCTTAATTCTTTTGTACCAAGCTCCTTTTAACCCATAAGGTTTTTCAGATACTGTACTTTGTTATCCATTTTGGGTCATTATTATTTGATCTATTAAATTTGTATGGTATACTACATTCCTGTGCTTTGCTTAGAATATTTTAAAATAAGTTATATTTTGAATCCACATCGAAATCCCTTGTTACGTCACCCATTGCTAGGTTCACGTCTTGCTCCAAGACGTGCCCACCCCCCATGCCTTTCCAATCTATTACATCCCCTCCCCCCCCCCCCCCCCCCAAAAAAAAAAAAAAAATATATATATATATATATATATATATATATATATATATATATATATATATATATATATATATATATATATATATATATATATATATATATATATATATATATAATATAATATATAATGTGTGTGTGTGTATATAATGTGTGTGTGTGTGTGTGTGTGTATATAATGTGTGTGTGTGTATATAATGTGTGTGTGTGTGTGTATAAAATACTGTATATATAAAAAATATACAGTATTTTTCTTATAACAATTAACACTGATTTTTGTGAGTGATGCACATATAATTTACCACCCTACATGGATATTATTTACTCCTAAGAGGTAGTCTGACTTTCATCATACAGTTTACATGTTCATTTCTTTAATAAAAACTACTGTACTGACAACCTTATCTCCTGTAGGTGGTGGCCAAAAGGTACCAACGAGATGGTATCCTGCAGCTAGATAACTCAGAGGACGCCATCGGCAAGGCTCCAGGGAACCTCAAAAGCCTAGATCTTCGAGGCTCGACTTTTATTGGCTATGTACCTACCAACGAGAGACGGTGAGATCAAATATAGTGTATACTGTTTTAAAGTAAATAATTGCAATACAATCACAAAAAACGTATTTAAAATACTGTACTGGTATAATTTTTTGTTAATACAGTAATACTGTATAACAAAACACATTATTGACTAATAAGCATCTGCAAATAAGAATAAATTTTATCTTCTAAAAATGTTCGATTTTTACTTGAATTTTAATTATAATTACTGTAAGTCTCTGAATGATTTGCATCCTTATTAAAGGAATTACAATACATAAAACTTCTTTGATTATGCCAAGTTGATTTAGACTAATCTTAATAATGTAGATCACGTTTGTATAATCCCTTCATCAGGGTATGGGAGAATGCGGGTACGACAGAGGGGCTAGTGGGATGCCTGCGATCGGTGAGAATCAATGGCCGGCCACTGGACTTGGTATGGCCCGGCTCTCCGCATGTGGTGAGGGCAGAACATGTGGGCGAGTGTTCTGCCTCCCCTTGTGCCTCTCTCCCGTGCCTTAACCAGGGCTCCTGCAGGCCTACTGATGATGGCCACTTTAAATGTCTTTGCATCCAGGGATACACTGGTGAGTAGTAATACAAGGAGGCTATTGGAAACCTCCTTGGGCTGATTTAAATTGAGGACTGTTTATTTCGTGCATCTAAAAGCCATCTAGATATTTTAATTTGTGATTCATTTTTAATCTTCACATCATTCCAATGCAATTATAAATTTAAAAGTTTGAAAGCCAAGCATTTCTAACAACTCTTACAAAAAAAATGTCTCTCATAATCTTGTCGAGCAGTAAACTAAGGTATTTATTTATTTATTTATTTTATATATTTATTTATTTACTGTATTTATATTCAAATTCCCTCTTTTTTAATTTTATATTATCTCAACACAATCTATACTCTAATCTCAATTAGTATTAAGTTTTAGTCTTAGTGGTTTTCCTGCCCGAAATGCTTTGCGTAATAGTGGCTTTAGGCATTGTATGTACTAGCTCTATCTATAAACCCTAGAAACACAAACCGTAACTATCTCTATTTTCCACTTGTTACAGCTTGTAATAAAGTTGTTACATCTTGGCTTAACGTGTTTATGACGTATTAGAACATTGTTACAACTTGCTATATTGGTTGTTATAACTGGTTAGGTGTTAAAACTTGTTCGAACATTGTACCAACGTCGTAGTTTCGGTGTATGTTTGGCGGGAATCCATCACTGTTTGTATCACACCTTATATGTATGTACTTTACATAAATAAACATTTGAATTTGAATTTTAAATTTGAATTTGAATAATTATTGATGCCTTTATGTTTTTAGTAATTTCCAAAGACAGATTCCAAGTAATTCTTAATTTTTATTATACCATTGCGATGCTGCAGGAGAGAGGTGTGAGGTGCGTTTGGACCCATGCGAGAGTCAACCATGCCAAGCTGGTGCCACCTGTGTTACCCTCCCATCAGAGGGCTTCCTCTGCAAGTGCCCTCCAGGCAGGACTGGCACCCTCTGTGACCAGAGTGAGTAGTGTTCGTTATTTTATATCGTGTTGCTAGTTATGGCCTCACTATGTTTTTGTACACTGGCTATGTTGAGGCGTGTATGAACTAGATATTGTATGTATGAACTAGTTAAATTTTGGAATTTATTAAGTACTGTTGTACAGTATGTGTTGTATGACTGAAAGTGATGAGTGTAAATTTATATTCAGCTATTCATCATTTTTATGAAACTGTTACTAAAGTGCACCATCATAGCTTACCGATCAATTGGCATATACAATTTAGTTCTGAAAATTTACCTAAGTTTACCTGACCAATTTACAAGATCAAAGTAAATTTATACTCTGAATTGCCAATACTTGACATTCTTATCCTTACAACACCATTATGCAGGCATATTTGATACTACTACTACTATGCTATACTTGTCTCTTGATGCTATTTAGTACAAGTACGTATATGGTTACCTTACCTTGAAGTTACCTTGAGATGGTTTCGGGGCTTAGCGTCCCCGTGGCCCGGTCCTCGGCCAAGCCTCCTCATTGCTGGACTGGTCAATCGGGCTGTTGGACGCAGCTGCCCACAGCCTTATGTATGATTCACAGCCTGGTTGATAGCCATGGTGTCTGTGAATGGGGGTACAATTCCTTCTGCTGAAAATTTAAAGTCTGCCTCTGGATAATACAAAGAATTTTTCAGACTAGTGATAAAGATGCAAGACTTGTATGTAGTGTTACATCTTACACAAAATTCTTGGTAGAATATAGTGTATTTTATATTACCCTATTATAGAAAAAAAACTAAACAACAAACCCTTAATTAAGGGTTTGTTGTTTAGTGTTTTATTTTAACACAAAATTTTAAAATTATTAATGTTTTACTTTTATGAGAAAAACTGTCAAGTTCATCAGTTGTAGGTGCATCAGGCCTGTGTATTGCAAGTTTTAAAAATGTTTATACACAACTGAAAAGGAATTAATTTCAGAGGTATACCTCCCAAAAATATCCTTGATCATCTTGAAGTTGTTAAAATATATTCATCCCTGCATTGTTTTAAATCATAAAACTTTCTAAAAAAAACTTTATCTCTGCAGTGGACCGTACTCTTCGGGAGTCGGTTATTCCAGACTTCGATGGTGATGCTTATCTGGAACTTCCAACACTTGAGAATGTCGGCAACTCTTTAGCCTTGGAGATCTGGTTTCTCACCAGATCTCCGGATGGAGTGTTACTGTATAATGGACAGATGGGTGGAGGAGGAGACTTCATTGCCTTGAATCTTCGCAATGGACACGTTGAATTCTCATATAACCTTGGCTCTGGTCTTGCAACACTAGTGTGAGTAATATTCTTTTATAATTCACCTCTTATCAGTTTAATGATTTCCTTTAGGGTATCTTATTCAGTCTTTTGATAAGTTGCATTATACAGTAGTCGGTATTTTAGATAATACTATTAAAATTCTATGGGAGAGGAATATCAAGGGCATGAGAATGGGACATGATGGTTATAAATGAACTGTCATGCTCTTCTAAGTCCCAGTTGCTAGTGCTGCACCTTTACAATTTCACCCTTAAGAAGTATCCGGTGTTTACCACTTCCATGTCTGATCTCTGTTATTCAGATTAATGTCACAAAATTAGTTCTGCTTCCCACACAGAATCACCAATTATAATGTGTTGTTTCAGATTCAGGCTGAAGTAAGTAGTGGGCCACTGGTGTAGGTGGTAAACTTCAGGTCAGAGTGAGCAACATGAACAAGCACAATTTGTTCCTGAACTTACTCTGGCACAAGTAACGTCTTTTTAGCCACTCTCACGCTCTTGGTCTGGATCCATGCTGTTACTAAGCTGTGCTTTAGTTCAAGCTTGTCTGGGATATACTAATCAATTTAAACCGTGAATCATATTTAAACATCGTGATTACTCTGATAAAAAGTTACTGTAGCTTATGACAGTCTGTTTTCTTTCTTTTTTTCAAAACGGAAGTTACAGGTTATAATAGGTTAGCTTAGGCTGGGTTCTAATTTTTCTAAAGGATATCATCCACTCTGTAGTTGCACTTGCATGCCTTTGCACTAGCAACAGATAAATAAAGCTTTCAAGAATGCACAAGAATCTGAGCTTTACAAGTTTAGCGTTAATTTGGATACAGATTTAGCTATAAGTTTAAATAGAAGAGAACTGATTATAAATGATTTTATGCTAAAAATTCTGCATTCAATTTAGAAACTTTGATCCAATAAAATAAAGGAAGTTAAATATGCAATTGCAGTCAAGAGAGAAATTTATCATAAGGAAACAGTTATTTTCCAGATTTAAAACATTGCAGTTCATTCTTATAAGTGAAACACTCAGATGGTGTAGCTTATATTGATCTTTCAAGATTGGAGAGTTCATAATAATGATTGTACAGTATTAATAGAAACCTAAAGTATCCCATTTATTTATACACACGATGGTCATTACTAGCTTGGGTATACAGTACTGTTAGTTAATACAAAGCTAAATGCTTTTTACGTTTAACAATGAAGCTTGACAAAATAATTTAGTTTGAAATGTAATAACACATATACTGTACTTGTTTTATCGAGAACCTGCACATAGTGTTTAGAAGGAGCAGAGTACACCAGCTGATATATAGTAGCCATATAAAATAATTTTCCAGTATTCATTGATCAGATATTCAAAAACATTATTCCCACAATATTTACAGTACTGCTGTCTATAACTATCTTTACTGCTACATAAGTCTTTCAAATGAAGAAATCTCAGAGTACCCAGCACAGCTTCCACCAAGTATGGGTCCATGCCAGTCCTCCACCACAACATGTTCAAAATATTTCAATAGATGCATCCTCAAATAAAATATTTTTATATTAAATAACTCAACCCATGCATGTGAAATTACGATAATTGAAAGTGACGACATTTTGGACCATCCTGGATGACTCGTAATGTTAGCACTTTCATTTCACTTCAAGCGTGTGGGTTGTGTTATGTGTTTCGGCTGTGTTATTGTGGCATTTTCTGCATTAATGTTAAACTCACTCTACTCTTTATTCGAACATCTGCCAAGAGGACTCTTTACTTTCTCTTCTTGAAGGCTGAATGCATTGAATTGATTTCCTGGTACCATCACACACTGCCACCCTCACACTTGCCACTCTCCTCTGCAGTACACACTAGATTATTGCTCATGTTCAATTATACTTTTTTTTTAAGTTCTTAATTTTTGCCATGTATTTTATTTGCCAATTAATGAAATTTTTGTTTCCACATTTCTTTTCCTTCACAAAGCTATGTAAACTGTATCACTGTTTTGTATATTTTTTTTGTTATTTTGGTATTTTTTTTTTTTGCCTCACTTTGGTCATTACCAGCTTGTAATTGTGTGTTGTCTTGTCCTGTTGAGGATTATTAAGTTACTACGTGCTCATCCTCAGACATTTATGCTATTCTACTTGATTACCTTGCACAAAAAGTCAGCTCAATATTTGATCTGTGGTCACTTATGATAAAAACTTCATGTATGGAATATCCTACAGATCTTGTAAAAAATTCAGTAAATAATGCTCACAGGAATAAAAGTCCTCTGTGTTATCAGTTGTTACATAACAGAAATTCTGAATCATATACTGTACACAACACATTACAAATAATAAATAATTAGCAACTTGGCACAAAATGAATGCATTACCACCCTAAATTTTGTTGTCATCCTGCTTACAGGAGCCCGAATCGTGTGCCCCTCAATACATGGCATGTGGTTCGTGTGCGACGAAAGAAGAGGCGTGGCGTTCTGCGACTTAATCAGGGTCGTAGAGTCATGGGCAAGAGTGGGCCGAGACTAAAAGAACTCAATCTCAACCAGCCACTCTACCTTGGAGGCCTTGAGTAAGTACTGTATCACAGTACTGGATATATATGCAAAATGCATCATTCTCTTCTATGTTGGAAGGGGTATTTGCAGCACATGTATAGATACTTGAATTAAATGCTACTAATTTTGGTAATTAAATACTGTAGTACATTTCTGCAACTTCACTAACACACATGGTGTTTCAGACAAGTCTTAATGCCAACACAATATTTTCTGTGCATTTAGCTAATTATATGAGGGTTTCTAAAGTGATAATGATGAACAATATAGACTACTTTATTTCAGATTGTGTAGCTTTAGTGATAACTCTAATAAGAGCTCATTTACAGTATTTAATATTCACAATAATTGCAAACACAAATTCTTAATTAGCATGAAGAAATATGTGGGATTATATGCAAACTACTAAAGAAATTTTCTCCTCAGAAATTATACGATGGCACATCCAGATTCTGGTGTCACCATGGGTTTCAATGGAGCCATTCAGCGTGTCCTTGTTAACTCAGAAGTCTTTGATAACTTGGATGAGCGAGCCACAGGTGGTCGAGGTGTCCGCAGGTAATATAGACATTAAGAATAATAATAATAATAATTCATTGTGTTGGGGGACAGGCAGCCAGTTTATACCATCAGTACATGTTAGGCTTATAGCAAGGTACCACCCAGTGTCGAATTTCTGATCCTGCTAAGGATGCGACCCCCTCAACAAGCTGACTAACTCCTGGGTACCTATTTACTACTAGATGAACAGAGGGCATTATGTGATAAGACATGCATCTAACCATTTCTGTCCTGCTTGGTATTTGAACCTGGAATTCTCGATTGTGAGTCAAGAACGAACCTGACTGTACTACAGGGACCCTGTTTAATGTTTAGCAACTAGTGTTGATGTAGGACTGTAAGGAATTACACACAACAGACAGATAATGTAGACAGAAACCTTTATGTTCCGTGACTCGGTTATATTTTGGGTGTCCAAATTTTGCTAATATGAGCAACTTTAAAATTGTAAAGTTGGTGTTTGTAATTAACAGGGCTACAATTAGCTAGGTACAAACACTCTGCATATCATTGATGGTTTGACTTTTCGAGATTCCTTAGTATGGTATTCATCAGGTATTGAGAAAACAGATGCTTGACTTTATTTATTTTTATTTATTTATTTATTTATTTATTTATTTATTTATTTATTTATTTATTTATTTATATACAGTGTATATACAAGAAGGTACAATGGGTTTGAAAGTACATAGCATTGATGTTTTTACATTCTTGTAAAGCCACTTAACATGCATAGCATTTCAGGCTGGTCTTTAATCTAACAGATAATTTAAGTAGGTAATTTCTAGCAAAATTGAGAAATGTTAACAGGTATTGTACACTAAGAAAATTTGACAAAGATTAGTTGGTACAGTATAGTAAAATTTGAGGATTATCAATAGGTACATTGTAGCATAATTTGAGGATTATTTCAAGGTCTAATGTAGTAAACTATGCATTCAATATAACAGCCATGATATAAGATAATAGCAATGATTACAATGGTGAAGTTGAATGGCTTAGGCACATATATTGGGGAAGTGGATAATACAAGATACAGTGTGAGTTTGAAGAACTATGTAGGAAACTATGAGGATGAAATTAGGTACTTCTGCAGGAAACCATAATTGCTTCATCTCTTCTTTGAACTTACTAGACAAGCCTCTTCTCTGCAGGATTCAGTACAATAACCTCTCCAATAAATTATTCTCTTCAGATTAACACTTTATCTTCCCTCAGGTATAGAGGTCCTCCATGTCAGCTCAACCCATGTGAGAATGGTGGAGTTTGTCAGCCCTTCCGCAACAGATTTCTCTGTAAATGCCCTGCTGCTTATGGTGGAAAGTTCTGTGAAAAGCGTAAGTACTGTGAATTTGATGTTATATATAATACAGTGGCACCTTCGTTTTCGTAGTTAATCCATTCCCAGGGATGGTACGAAAACTGAAACTACGAAAACCGAAACAAATTTTCCCATAAGAAATAATGTAAATTGAATTAATCTGTTCCACACCTCCAAAAATATTAACTAAAAATACATTTTATACAGAATAATACTCTTAGGTACCTTACCTTTATGGAGGACTCTTGTTGGCATATGGAAAACAGTGAGGAGGAGGGGAGGAGGAGAGTGATAGTATTTTGAAGGGGGGAGTCCCCTTCCATTATAACAGCAGTGATGACATTTGTGGGGTACTCTCTCCCTTACATTTTTGCAGGCATACTACTAGGACCTGGTTCTGGCTCACTGCTTGCTTGTCTTACTAAGAATCTGTCTATAGACACTTACTTTTAACGTTTCTTTTTTCACTTACTTTTCCTACATTAACACTTGTCTGTAGTGAGACATCACAGTGTCTCACTATGAATGATCTCTTGTTTTTCCTCTATTGTCATCCTCATAACTATTTTCTTAGATTGAACATTACCACTGAATTTCTTGGAACCCATGGTGTGATATATAATAAGAATTTTTATGTTCAGAAACCAAAAAAATCACAAAACAATTAAATTCTTCTCAAAGAATCCAAGCGAGATCATCACTAGGCGGGAGACACTGGTAAACTGAAGTGCCATGCTTGCTGTGGAACCATACATATATAAACAAATGAGAGTACGACCACCGAGGCAAACTACGACTACCGAATCAAATTTCTCAGAAATTCATGAGAACCGAAAACTACGAGAACAGGGGCACACGAGAACCAAGGTTCCACTGTACTGTACAGTATCTGTATTTTACACGAATATACCTAGATTTATTTATTTATTTATTTAACTGAATTTACCTGAGGGTCACTAACACTCAAGTGTTAGTGATTGAGGATAGGAAGCCAGCGGCTTGTCAAAGGTCTCCACATTTGCCCTGATGATCTATTCCAGTTGGATTTTTAAATTTAACAGAGTTTTGGCAAGTAGGTGGGTCCATGGGTTTATAACCACTGCACTGTGCAAAGCACCTTAAGGCACTCTAAGAGTTGTGCAATTTTTTTTAATTAGGTCATATTTTAAAGTTTGTTAATGGTTTCATTGCCCTTTGTGATTTGAAATGAAAATTATTAAGTTTGGAAACATTTGGACATTAACATTAGCTGAACATTTATAAAAACAACAAAAATATGTCCTTAACAGCTGCACCATGAAATTTTTGCCAGAAACAGGTGTGTAGTGCAGGGAATAATATTGTGGGTAAAAAAAGCATCTCCTGTTCTTGGTCCTACATTGTGGCTTGTTGAGCTTGAAACCGTTGCTCCTTGTTTGTGTTACATCTGACCTTTTGAAGAAATTGTTCAGTATTTTAAGTTTCAATGAGATCCGCCCTGTCTGCAGTATTACTATTCCATATACCTGTTTTTGATTATATATTTTCTGGGGGAGCCCCTTCGGCTCCCCGGAGCTTATCCAGGCTGATATGCTAATGTCAGACTTTGGCATCAGTCGTGTGTATGGAGTTCTATGGTCCTACCGGGGACGACGAGCCAGAACCTGGCCCCCTTAGAGAGGCATGGGGAGCAATGGCCAATAGAAATACCCGTGTGGTTGGAAGCATTCTATGTCTGCCATCGACCGGGTTTGTTTTGGGACCTCGCCTTTCTGGGTGCTTGACTTGGTCGATGGCAGACATAGAATGCTCCAACCACACGGGAGTTTCTATAGGCCATTGCTCCCCATGCCTCTCTGAGGGGGCCAGGTTCTGGCTTGTGGTCCCCGGTAGGCCCATAGAACTTCATACACACGACTGATGCCAAAGTCTGACATTAGCATATCCACCTGGATAAGTTCTGGGGAGCCTCCGGGTCTCGCCCAAAAAATGACGTTTCATTACATTCAACGCTGGTTTTTTGAACTAAGTATGTATGCATGTGATGACAGATACAGATAAGCTATTGTTTGGATTTTTTTTTTGCAATGTACATTTTAATGTACAATGTACAATGTTGCAATTTAAAGTACAGCTGGAAAAGATCATCAGGGCAAATGGAGGGACCTTCAACAATCCGCCGGCTTCCTGTCCTCATCGAAGCCAATAGTGTTTGTGGCTCTCGGGTAAATTCATAGCTTTGATAGGTAGACAGTTCCAAAGGTTTATAACCCTGAATGAAAAAGCATCTGTTTTCTGTCCTGCATTGTGGGTTATTGAGCTTGAAACCATTATTTATTTTATTTATTTTTATTTATATATACAAGAGTTCTTACATTTTTGTACAGCCACTAGCACGCATAGCATTTCGGGCAAGTCCTTAATCTTATGTTCCCAGGAATACAACCCCACCAAATCGTTTAACAACCAGAATTTGTTTGATATTCCTTGTTTGCGTTACATCTGACTTTTTGTAGAAGTGGTCTGGATCAATATCCTCCAAATTTTTTGGTATTTTAAGTTTCAATGGAATAAGCCTTGTCATGTCTGGTTTGCCGTGTTGTTAGACCTGTAGCCTGTACAAAGGGAGATGAATAGACAGGTTATAAATAAATAAATAAAAAAATAATAATTATAGGTACAGATTGTGTAGGCTATTGGTAGGGTGTGATAATATAATTTAAGATACAGATTTTTAATAATTATAGATTATAATTCAAGGAAGAGATGTGATAAGGTGTGACCTGCCCAAAATACAATGCGTGTTAGTGGCTTTGGAAAAAGGTAAGAACTCTGATATTATGTACTTTCACAACCCAATGTTTCTTGTATTTAAATAAATAAATAAATAAATAGGGTTGTGAATATTGTAATTAGAATGGATTGAAGAAAGCTATGATTGAAGTGAACTCGATACATAATTGTATTAAATAACAACATTTACATTTCATGGGGCTAGGAGCTGATGCTTATCCCTGTAAATATTAACTAAGTTCATTTTGGTAAGTATATCTATGTTAATATACAATCATGTCTAGCTGAGTGCATCTAGGTGTGCACATCTACACTAATATCTAGAATGAGTTGAATATATCTAGGCAATTACATGTTGGCGCGTAAACATGTCATTTACATGTTGACTGATGGGACCTAAGAGCGGTGGCTCATCCCTTGTAAACAGTGTTGCCAAATTGGGCTAAAAATAGCAAATTGGGCTATTTTGAGAGAGCTTTGTACTCCTAAATTTTTAATCTCACTACTGTACTTGCTACTTTTTTGGGCTAATTTAAAAATAAGTCGGGCTACTAATGTTAAGAAAGTCAATGACTCATTATTTATGCATTTATAATGCAATGTTTGTAAAACATAGCTGCGCCCAACTGCCTGATTGACCTGATCACCAACTGCAGGAGGCTTGGTTAGAGACTGGGCCCCTGGGGACATTGATCCTTGGAATCTTCGAAAGAAAAAGTAACTGAAACGTGAGGTAATCCTTCCCCCGGGGCGATATGCTTCCTAACCTTAATTGTCATTAATGCTTCATCCTGGGTTCTGTTTTTCCTAGCAACCCATCCTCCTGAAATGATAGTACAGTACCTGTACTTAACTATTTGGTGGAAAGTACCAATATGTAGTGATGGACCACCAGTAAACCACTTATAGATCAGTCGACTGATATTGTGTGTGAAGAACTTTTGTGTTTATGTGTTCGTTATTATAAAGCTAAACACGATAGATTTTTACCTCAGTGTATGTGACTGGTTTCAGTCTCAACCAGTACCTCTAAAGCCTAGTATCAACACCTCAAAAATTATTTTGGCTATATTCGAGTTTATTTAAAGCATGGTCTTATACAGTCATTGACTGTGTGGACTTCATTTTTAATTTTACACTGTGATACAAATACAAATATTTATTCTGGTAAAGTACAAACATACAAGGTGAGATACAAAATGTTGATGGATTTATAGAGAGAGCTAGTACATACAATGCCTAAAGCCACAAAGCGTTTCAGGCAGGAAAAACACTAAGACTAAAACTTAATACTAATTGAGATTAGAGTATAAATTGTGCTGAGAAAATAAACAAAATAAAAAAATTAAAAAAAGGGGGGGAACATGGCAGAAAAAAAAGCAAAAATACAATTTGGTCAACAGCATTGTTTAAAATAGTAGACATGGGTTGACATTTTGGGGGTGAGGTAGGTTACATGATGTTAATTAGGCAGTACTTAGTTTTTATCTTAAACTGGTTGAGAGAGGTACAGTCTTTAACATAATTGGGAAGGTCATTCCACATTCTGGGTCCCTTTATATGTAAAGCATTTTTAGTTTGATTAAGTCATACTCTTGGAATATCAAATAGGTATTTGTTTCTGGTGTTGTGCTCATGGGTTCTGTTACAATCTTCTAGGAAGCTTTTGAGGTCAGAATTGATATTACAGTTCAGCGTTTAATATATATATAAAATACACATGAATAAAGACGTGATGAAGACGAATATTCATTATTTGTTTCTAATCAAATGCACATGTCATTCTTTGCATTTAATGTGTTTTCATGCATCTGAGGGATTACCATCCAGCATCGACTTCATGATGAGAAAGCTACAGATGGTTCCACAGATTCATTCAGGAGAGTGTTATCTAGATTCTAGAGATTTACAGACTTATAAATGATGGGAACGATCCCTTACAGTTGATAATTTTGTCAATGGTTGGCAAGGAACATGATGGTTGGCAAGGAACAATAGTGGCTTTACAAGGATGTAATTACTATGCTATGTATCCTCACAATCCTAATGTACCTTCTTGTATATATATAAATAAATAAAGTGTAGAGCAGTGGGAGTCTTGAACAACTCATTATCAAATCACTTCTTCCTTTTGTGATAAGTATGTTGCAAGGCAACTATTTTCAGTGTACTCTGATCCTGTCAATAAGCTATATTTCACATTCCTCAAACCAATCCTAAATGATTTTGAAAGGATGAATTTAG